TATCATCATATGTATACACAGTAATCATGAAAAGATAGCGTTTTCTTCTGTCCTTTTCTCAATACGTATTTCAATGTTTAATACCGTAAAATAATACATAAAAATTCAAATTTTCACAAACTTCAAAACGCTACAGAATATTTACTACTCAATATTAATAAGATATTTTTTTACTAAAATTTTTTTTAATTCTACTCTACAAAATAGCTATCTTAGATTTTTTTTTTACATTTTATTTAAAATTTAAAAATAATTAATATTTTTAATAAAATGTAAAAAAATTAATTATTGAGATATAGCTATAGACCTAACGTATAACTATTATTTAAAAAAAAAAATCAGCTAAAAATATTAACTGGATCAAAAGTTATTTAAGTTGTCAGTGAGTGGTGGGCCACCCTGTATATAGTTAAGTTATATTTTATTATTTTGTGAATTTTAGACTATAATAAAATTCCTGAAGATATACATAATATATTAGATAGTTTTAAAGATATTATTGATAATAATGAATGGAATTTTGATGGATGCTCTGAAGAGTATTTTAACCTCATTAAAACATTAGATATATTCAAGAAAAAAAAAGAAAAAAAATTAAAAATAGTTATTAATAAATGTCTTCGGCAATTTTACAAAGATCTACGTCCTCTTGAGGTAAATAAAGTTAAAACAATTATTATTTAATAAAACAACATTTTAAATTCGTATGAATCCATATTATAAGAATAGGAAAAAATAGAGAATTCTGGGCCCTGCACTTCGCCCTTTAGTCGTCCGATGGTATGAATGTGAAAGGGAGAGGGGAATGCTTGGTCTCGTGATGGAGGGTGTAACAACAGGTTAAAATGATTCTGTTGTTCTTGTTCGAAGACTCTTAGCAGACACATCAACCACTTTATCTTAACGTCGTCTCGTTCCAAGCCATATACGTTGACAAACACGATAGGGTCTCGTCGTCCAAATATTTTAATTTGGGACACATGTGTGGGAACATCAACCCCGTGAAATCATACTTGTGTTCCTCGTGAAAATATTTTCGATCAACGCGATATTTGCGGTCATCCTCGACGTGCCTCGCCAAAATGGACCACTTGAAACAATACTGGTCGATATTCTGTGGATTGGTGATTGCTTCTCTTTGATTTCTGGTGGGACAGGAATATATGATGAGCCGTCGAAGGGTATATACTTGAATGCGTTCAGCATAAGGCCGTCGATATGCGATATAAAGTAGAGCCGCTACCCTTCCCCGAGTACGCGTATTCCTCGGCGAGCATAGCCTCAAAATCTTCATAAACTGCACACCCGATATCCGTATCTGATAGCAATGCTCTAGCGCGTATCTTAAAAGTACGGTACTCGGGAGGTACTCCCGATCACGGTATATAGTTTGAGACCTCCAATTTGAGATTGTACTTGATCGGACGGTTACCGACATTTTCCATGGGTTTAGTTACCAGCTGGGTGGGTTTAACGGCATGTAGAAAATCTCAATAGCTCGCGAAATTTTCGATAATCTTCAGATAAAACCAACCGGCCCCCCACTACAACGCGGAATCAATTTCAGTGAAATCACGGGTATCCGTCAATTGCATACATAATCTTTTTTATCTATCCGCGCTGTTAATAGAGCTACTACGCCACCCAAAGTAACGAAGCAGATGTAAACGAGGTATCTTTAATAAAAAAAAAAAATTATCTATTGGAATAATAAAAAAAAGTAGAGTAAAAATTGATCCAATACTGTTCGGTATTGGATTTATTTTAAAATTTAAGTGATCCAAAAGTATATTAAAATGTTAACTATTGTAAAAATCTACGTACTTTGTATAGAAGATGATTGCTGTTTCATGATTTTTCATTTGCGAGTGTAAAATATTAAAATAATAAATTTTTAGTTTTCAAAAATACAAATGTGCGTTAACGTCTATGAACCATGTATGTGACAGGATAATAAGCGTTTAACCGGTTATATAGTAAAATAATAAAAAAATAACTTTTTATCATATAATGCATACCTCAGTGATCAGTAATCGGTATTGATACCTTGATGTAGAGATTATGCTTACTTATGCGTCTTGTAGCCGACGATAAAATTCATAGAAATTATTTATACTATTGATGTTGGAAATAGGATTACCTAAGAATCTGGACGTTAGGCAAATTAGTTTACGTTGGGTTTCATCCCTACCCCACCCATTTCAGGTTAGTTTATGATAAGTTTTAATACCCCTCCCTCTTTAGGACATGATGATGGGGGAGGAGAACCCTGTAGCGTTAACATTAAGTAAATATGTTAAAGGAATAGTCAAGAACACGTGTGCTGACGTCAGCGGCTACTTAACATGTACTATTTAATGCAATGCGTACATTTATCAGTTGACGTTATCAGTTAACATGGAGTTTTAGTTTACCCTATACTCCACACATTACCCTCTCCATCAAATGTCTACGCTTTCCCTTTCCCCTTGTTATTGAAGTTATTGAATAGAGTGGACGAGTTCATACTGTCCTCATTATTCATTCTAGAATTTTTAATATAGTCACAAGTTCTAATTTTTTTTTAATGAGTGATAAATTATAAGATAATTTACAAAGACTATATAAATACCCTTATTGGCCCATTTATAATCTCTAGTAAATACGGGTTGAACTAAATATCGGACTGAACATTTTCATCGTTTAATTTTAAATAAACATACACTTTTTATAATTAAATCATGTTTAATATTGATCCTTTTAACTTTCAGGATGTTCAGTCGACAAATTGTTGCAAAAATTGTTGCTAAAATTTATAAAAATTCAAATAAATCACTTTATTAATTTGAAAATATATTAATAATGTTAATATAAAACATATAGTTTGTTATTACACAAATACTGTTACAATAAAAATTTCTATATGAGCAAAATTTTTCATAATAAAAATAAATATTAAAATTATTTGCTTATTTAAACTTAACAATTTCCGCTAAAAGTTGATTAAACAAGATTCTTGATTAGAATATTTTTGGAAAATATTTATTCTAATTTGATTTTTGTTTAATCGTTAAATTATTCTATTTAACTCAGAAAGTAAGTCTTATACAAATATTCAATAGGTTTAAAAGACTGTAGAAAAAAATAAAATTAAGAACTTATATTTTGTGTCAAATCAGGGTATTTGTTTTTTTCTATCAAATATTCGATATATTATTCATAAATACAAATTGTAAGAACATTTATTACTATGTTCTTACCACTTATATTACACACGTTTTATTTCTATTTATTTAATTCGTAATACATATTAATTAGCATAGAGGGAGATGTTGATGTGACAATTCTACTCGTCTTTAGCCCGGAGCTACTGACGTCGAACTAACGTTTTCCGGCACAGTCTGATGATTGTTAGGGTCAGGGGCACTAAATATTATAGTGCGTACCCGAACCGGCTAATTGCACTAATACAGATCAGACTTCGTAGTGTAGTGTATGTAAATAGAATCACTGGTGATGGGAGGGGTCACTTGCGCAGCAACCAGTGATCTATATAGTGACAGATGTGTTAGTGTGTAATTATGTAAGTGTGTGCTATTAAACTAAATAAATAAATAATTTAAACCTTTTTACAACAATTGATAATAATAATTTAATAAATGACTTGACAATATAAATTTAGCCCTTTTGGCTCAACAAATAATATAAATATGCACTCTAAGGCTATAACAGAATAACAACAACAGGTTTAAAAAATGTTAAATTATCCACACGGTATCCATCTCAACCCGATTTTGTTATGATGGGAACATCTGTATTCAATTTGAGTTTTATAGATAGAAAATTCATACACATCGGTTGCACATGGATTAACGATCGTTACTCACCAGTGGTAATAATAATAACACAGACTATGTATTTATAGATGGACATCTTTAAGNTTTTAAATTTAATCGATGAAATGATATCGTTCATGGATGATTCATGTAAATCAAAAATTTATCTAAACACAAATTTCAACATTGTAAAATCTAAATGTTTCTCGAAAAATTATCTGTCGTTTCGGGTAAAGGTATTGAAGAACATAGAATGGGACGTGTATCATTGACGGAAGAAAATCTAATTGTTCTGAAAGAAATGAAATCATGTCTTCTGGAGGTAGCAAAAGAGAAATTGGAAACTTGTAAATTATTGTGTATGCAGAGTAAAGAAGTTTCTGAAAAAATAAAGGATTTAGTAATAAACAAGTTTTTACTATTACCCGAAAATTTAATGTACTCCATCGTCAAAAATACGGATATATCAGTTATGTCAAAAACATCGACCGCATTGTACAAAGAAATCGTTACTTTCGATTATAAATGTATTATTAAACGTATTTGAGAACAATTCATAGTGGATTTCAAACATCAAACCAATCAGGATATTATGCAAATGACAAATGAAAATATTAGGTAAATACTTTACTTGGTTTGTTTATTGTATAAAACTAAATTAAATTAAAAATTTTTAGAAACAACGATAACGAACCAGATCTTTTGGAAAATCACTTCGAGAATATTTACGATGATTTTGATGATATTCAAAGTTGTAACGGGTTTTTCGAATCAACTGTTTAATAATAGAAAACGACAATATTACTAAAATTATTGTAAAAAGATGAATAATATAACGTATTATAACTCATTTTTAATTAAAAAAAAATAAATATTTGTACGTCTAATCGCGGTTTGATTATTATTTAAAAACTTATAATAATCATGTTAAAAATGTTGTACTCACATGGGTTAAATACTACATATAAAACATAAGTTGCTAAAATTATGGTTGTTGTTATTGAGGTGGATGGAACTGTTCATGCACCCAAGTATTAAATAAATTGGGGATAAATCGAAACGTAATAAAAATTCAAAAATATCCGTTAGACTTCACGGAATTCTCTCTAGATGTTTTTTTCTTTTAAACGTCAACAAATTTAAACCAATCACAGTATCATAAGAAAAGCTAAATCATCACTTTGAATTTTACTGTGAGTGTAAAGAGACTGTAGGGTGTTAGTCATTATTTGGAATTGAAACCCACATCATGTCAACACAGGTTCAAAAAATATTAAACAAGAAAACCGATTCACTGTCGGGTATCGAAGAAAAATGTTTTAATAATTTAAGCAGTATAAATATTGAAGAATTTTCACAAGATTTGGTAAAAACTTAAAATATTTTTATTTATATAAATATAATAGAATTAATATATTTTTAATAGACTGAAGAATTATTCCCTGATGTCTGGTTCATGGAAGATTATTCCGTTCAAGTCGAAATAGAATCATCCGATAAATATTACATAATCGATTGTGCTCAACATCCACCGTGGGCGATGGATATGTTAATTATTTTATTTAAAACACATAATGTTAAAAACAAAAATTTACGGGAAAGGGTTTTTGAAAANAAACACATAATGTTAAAAACAAAAATTTACGTGAAAGGGTTTTTAGAAACTATTTGGTCATGAATCATATGTTGATTCGTTTGTTGAATCGATGGAGAATAATTATATACTCTCTGGCTCACATCCGTGGAAAAATTCATGTATGGAGGAGAATTTTATGGAGTTAATTACTCAAGTAACATGGGAGGATAATGTAAATTCTTTGGTGAATTCTCACTTAGATTCACAACCGTCAGAAAATTCAAACATGGAAGATAGTCTGATGGAGTTAATTGCTCAAGACACATTGGATCATACTGTAAAATCTATAGATGATGATGATGATAACGAAGAAATAAAACGTAAGTAAAAATCATTTGAGCATTGTAATAAAGATATATTTCAAAAAATATAATAATAATAATAATAAATAATGTTTGTAATTATAATAATTAAAAATTTAGGAAACGTTGCGTGTTGGAACAATGATTTTTACGATGAAAAAAGAGCATTAGAAGTAGATTTAATAACTCTCAAGGCGATGGAAAAGTATGAAAAAAAATTGAAAAACAAAAATAAAAAAAATTGTTTACAATGATTGTTCGCGCCGAGTATGATAGCTGCACTGATTGGGTGTAATCAGGTGGTAGTGCTTGTGCGCTATCAACTGTTACGACGCCTTATCAGTTTAGTACCGTGTTGTTCGGTCGGTCTTTTTTGTTTTTTATTAAAAATGTAATGTGTTCCTGTAGTAGTATTATACAGTTTTTAGTTTAAGTTACATTGGTTTTCATTTGAATTAATTGTTGTTTTTTTGTATTAATCCAATAAAAACTTTGTTCAAGTTTCGGTTTAAAATACATTATTCATATCATTATTTGAGGACTTATAGTTGCTTTCATTTTTTGCCTTCCTTTTTCTTTTATATTAGTTGGTGCATTGCTGTAATGAAAACTACAGATATTTTATTTTTTTTTTTTTTTACGCGCTTTTATTAGCCCATTAAGGGCCACAGCGGCCTCCCCAAAGGAGGAGGTTTCTTAACCATTTATACTCCGGGACGGGTGGTTAGTCCGTCGCCGGAGGTGGGATGGCGACTCCAAATTACCGAACTGATCTCTCGTTCGGTAAATGAAGCCGCCCGTAAGACAGATATTGTCTTACTGTTATAAATGGTAATTAACTTTATTTATACAGAGCATAGCTGCATTTGTATTCATTGGTCTGGGTAAGTTTATTTTATATCACCAAAAAACATATTTTTCCTTTAGCGATTTTAAATTCATTAAAAATTTTTGTTGATTAATATTTGCCCCTATTTTCAGCCGTACGGCAAAGTTCTAATTCCCATTTATACTTGGGATCTTTATTTTTAGAACAGCCCAGGTGGCANAAATTGAAAAACAAAAATAAAAAAAATTGTTTACAATGATAATTATTTATTTAAAAAATTTAAAAATAATATAATGATTACAATTGTAAATGTTCACAAATTATAATATAACAATTACCATTGTAAATGCGTTGATTTGAAATAACATAGATTAAACTACCTTGTGTACTTCACTAGTCATTGCGTTGTACTCGAAAATTTTATCATGTAATATAAGACAATATGCTGACGTATCGTTTGGTATAGGAATCTTGGTTTCGAATTCAATTCGAACGTCTACAGGAGCACTTTTAATTTTTTCATTCTGTTTCAAGCAATCAATGACAACCAAAGGAGCGGTATCTTCTTTAGTTAAAATAGGATCACCATTTTCAATATTTTAGAAGCTATCATGAAATGTTGAATACATTTGATATAACGCTGAATATTTATCATTGTCAAGATCAATATTTAAACTGTCATATGGATAAGATTCTGAATTTAAAAAAACTTTGAGTGATGATAGAGAACAGTGGTCGAATCGGCTCATATCTGCAGATATATTGTTTTTACGTTTAGTTTGAAACGCTATAATCACATATCTAGGTTTTTCAGTATGTGTAGATGTCTTTAGGGCCCACGAATGTTTTGTTGTTTGTGGTAAAAATGGATATTCAAATAACTCCCAACTTCTAAAAGCGATGTAAAGTGGTTTACGAGAATCTAACGTCTTCAAAAGTTTCAATCTAACACTATCTTCTACGTTTATGTGTGGCATTCTCCACATTATTTTTGCGATTTTTATTTTATCATTCGCTCGCTCACATTTTAATGCGTTAATATCCACGCTGGATCTATGCAATATAAGTTCTTGCCGAGAATTGATTATAATTTTACGATGATCTTCCGCAAACCCAATGATTAATTTGAGAGGTATACAAACTTCAAATTTCGACTTACTGTCACCACTTTCATTCCATCCAGCGTTTTGATATCGGTAAAGGTTTGCCGTTTGAAAAGAGGCATAACCTTTCATACATGTTGTTATACCAGGGTTTCTTACTTTATCAAGTTCAACTGAGTTTAATTCGTAACGAATTTCATCAAGCAGAAACATAATACCGTTGTTAATTAATTTTACAAATGACACACTCTCACCTACTTCCATACTTTTCTCTATTTCGCCTTCGATGTATAGCAGCGATTCACTGGGAAGAGTATACAAATCTTGATGTTGTATCACAATCCGTATTTCATCGTTATTCGACAGCGCATTACTAGAAAATGGTTGATACGAATGATACTCAAATTTTGTTATACTTTCTTCGAAGTACGGCTTTTCGTGTATGTTCAGAATGTCTTCCATAATGTTTTGCGAGCGTGTAACCAAGGTTCAAGAGAGTATTTAAGCTTTCTCTTGTTAACCCTGGAAGTTTTGAAACATAACTGTTGTCAATGTCGAGAAAACATTTTCTTTTAACGTTATATTGTATTCCCATAACATATATGAACACGAACTGATACACTTTCACCTCTGAAATCGACAAGTTCACCGTTCTGATCTTTAATTTCAATTTTTACGTTATCTATTTGATTAGTCAATACGGGATAATATATTAGATTATTAGGTGATTCTACAATTTTATAGCCAGGAGACACCAAAGGATAAAACTCGTGAATCGAACACGTCTCGCGTCCGTTCACAAATGCGCCATGTACAATATCACACTCTATTCTTATACATGATAAGGGGATAATGTTAACCATTTGATCCGACTCGTGCACTATACCACCTTCAAACATTCGTTTATTGAATCCCAATAACTCTCCTATGCTATTATTTGCTGTGAAATCTATTGTTTTATCGCAAAACATTTCTGATTTCAATGTATTCACATTGGATTTTAACTTGAAAATAATATTATGTTTTTTCAATTCGTCCGAGAGATATTTACCTATATCATCTAGTTCGTAAGATCCTATCGGTATTGATAAATCAATAAACGATCCATTAATGGTCATTGAATTTCCGAGATTGTCTGCATCGGTTAAAACACGAAAATAATTATTTTTTCCACTAACGTTTGGTTTAGAGTTGCATGCTTGTAAACTCAAAAGTGCTAATTCTGCAGTTCCATCTAGTTCAATAGGTGGAAAAAAAGTGCTGATCATTCTAGACTGGTTATCTTGAAAAGATAACGTTAACGACCGTTGCATTGTTCCAGTAAAAATTTCAAACACAATTGTCCACACACAAACGTATCGAACTCTTGTAGACGAGTGTAATTAAATTTTATACGACAATCTTTTAAATAGTTGCGTAATTCTAAAGGCGGTGGTAAATTACCAAACGAATCAAAATAAAATACAGTTTTATTTTTTTTATAATATGCTACCCAGTGCGTTCCTTTATCCGTATCATCATCCAAATTTACTACAGCACATTCAAACTTTCTTGGTGTTTTAGGTAACTTATCTTGTGAAAAGACATTACGAAAATGAAACAGTTTGAATAATCTCGCTTATTTTATAATATCATTGCTGTTTAGTGGATGATCACTGGGTAGCATATGAATTAGTTTTTTTGAAATGGTTTCAAATATAAAGCTGATCCTCTTTTTGAAAGCATACCCCCACCGATTTTAACTGAGCTTTTTACATTTTTATTTTTTCTTACATTATTCACCGCTTTGATTATATTTGCAGCACCACCGACTAACGATCCGAGAGCAGAAAGACCTGCGAAAATAGGAATCAAGGGTAACGCTCCACCAAATTTTGGTATTTTTATAGTGCGAGGAGTAGTAGGTTTTCGAGCCGAGTCTTTAAATGTTTTTTTTGCCGCTGCAAGTGCAATGATACAAGCTTTCTTTGCACTTTTACTCTTCATTTTACGCATCGCTTTTCGACTCGAACTGACAATCGAGTTGAAATTTATTCCCATTCCGAGTTTACGTTTCGCTTTCATTATATTGGTAGTTGCGTATGCCGCTACTTTTTCTCCGAACGTACTGTCTTTTGCCTTAACACGTTCCCAAGCTCGGTTTTGTAAAATGTAATCGGCTTTATGTCGATTTTTAATATCCTTATATTTGCTGTATGCTATATCGTGATCACGAGCTGCTGAATCCAACGGATTTTTTCCGGGATCGCCACGAGCCAATCGTTTTTCCAATCGCGTACCGGGTCCTAGGTATTGATACGTTGGCCAATGAACTTCTACAGGGAGATTATTTATAAGAGAATTAACTAAACCGTAACCGCGTTTATTATTGTTTGATCGTCGATGTCGAACCATCGTTTGTTGTGATCAGGTGATAGTTTAATATTGAAGAATGGATAACTACACCGTATTTAACTTTTACTTTATAATATATTTTAACTTATTATACATAAAAATTTAAAAAACAATATCAATTCCAAAAGGAAGTAACAATAGTCCAAAAATGATAATATGAATGGTAAGTGAGTCTTATTAGTAGCCGGCGGCCTGGACCGGTTCTTCTCACCCGCGGTCACTCGGCGTCACGCGACCTGTCGGACGAGGAGAGGTAGCTGTGTCGCAGTCGCCATCCAGCGGTAAAGCCGGAAGTGCAGTGCGACCGCGTCACGTTTAAAACAGTGGATGTTTTGTATCAGTCTTTTATACGTGATGTTTTTCGAAGTACAAACGTGTAAGTTACCTGTTTCCAACATCGATTTGAATAAATCTGAATCGAAACGAATGAAACACGGACCCTTGCTACCCGATAATATACGTTGTATAATTTGCGGGCCATCCAATTGTGGTAAAACAAACGTAATGTTTAATTTACTGACGGAAGAAAACGGCTTAAAATTTGAAAACATATACCTCTATACAAAAACTCCGGATCAACGCAAGTATAAAATTTTAGAGAATATTATCAATGACGTAGAAGGGGTATATATAAACGTTTACACCGATAACGATCAAGTAATACCACCGGAAACAGCAACTTTTAATTCTATATTTATATTTGACGATGTCGTATGTGAAAAACAAAAAAACATAGAATCATATTTTTGTAGAGGTCGACACAACGGTATCGATATATTTTATTTATCGCAGACGTATTCTCGTATCCCAAAACAACTCATCAGAGACAATACGAATATGATTATTTTATACAAACAAGACGAAACTAATTTAAAACACATATACGATGATCATTGTTCGTCAGATATGAGTTTTATAGAATTTAAAGAAATGTGTGCTAAATGCTGGAACTCTGGAAGATTTGAATTTTTGTTGATAGCGAAAGATTTTCCTTTAAACGAGGGGAGGTATCGCAAAGGTTTTGATATTTATATAAAAAGAGCTGATTTTTAGACACTTGGTTATTAATACAAAATGTCGGAGTCGGAGGAGAATATAACATCAAGTATTATAAAAGCTAAAAAAAGTATTAGAAAAAAATTACTGGAACTTAAACGTGGTGTGGACCAAACTAGAGAGTTTATACGCGAGCATGCGAAACCTATCGTTGAACCTCTGGAAGAAATTGCACAACAAACAAAAAACTTATTTAAAAATCGTACATCGAATGATGCTGAGTAATACGATGGTGAGGAATACGATGATATTGGTAAAAATCAAACAATCGTGCTGTCTAAACCGTTACAACAACAATAATCAAAATTTGATGCGGTCTACGGTGTAACCGTTACGGATGACAGAGACTTTAAAATGGGTGATAAAATGGTAATTATCGATGAACATATGGGTAACATAAAAGTTGGTGCTCTAAAACAAGTACCACTGACGAAAGGATTACACGAATTGTTATTTAAAAAGATACCCAAAGTCGATTTAATTACATCTGATGATATGTTAACGTATAAAAACTGTCTCATGCACACTAGAGTACACAGAAACATTAACGGAAAATTGAAAACGAATCAAGGATATAAATATAAAAACAAAATAAAACAGTTATTTAACGGACGGCAACCAAGCGAAAACGAAAAGCTTGGTGGCGGACTACCGTTTTTATCTGTAACAAATAAACGAAAAGAATACATATACTGGGACGATATAAACGAATTAGTGCAGCGACTATCTATTCTACACACGTCAAAGCGTGCAGGTAATATGGGTGTGTATAACGAAATAATATCCCTGGAAGAAGAACTTAGAGAAAATGGAGTGATAANAACTTAGAGAAAACGGAGTGATAGAATGAAAACCGTTGGTGACCAAATAGCAGAGGAGTTACATGCGCAAGCTAAAAAGAAATTTCCCAGACGCATCGTGACACCTTATACCAAAGACAACACGTGGCAAGTGGATCTCGTCGATATGAAAAAGTATTCTCGCAAGAATAAAACCTATCCTTTTATTCTCACTGTAATAGACGTGTTTACAAAATACGCATGGTGTGTAANCGTGTATACAAAATACGCATGGTGTGTACCATTAAAAAGTAAAACTGGTAGAGCAGTAACAGCAGCGTTTAAATCAATAATAAGTAATTGTAATAGATGTCCATTGTATTTAACGACAGACAGAGGTTTAGAATTTTTCAATAAAGAGATAAAAACTTTTCTAATAAAGAGAGGTGTTCATCATTTCCCTACATATTCTGCAGTGAAGGCATCCGTAATCGAACGTTTTAACCGTACGCTTAAAGAACGCATGTGGAAAAAATTTACAGCTTCGAGATCTTATCAATGGTTGAGTATATTACAAAAAATAACAAATGATTATAACAATGCTATTCATTCGGCAATTCGTCAAACACCAGCGCAAGCATCCAAACAACCCGATAGCGTACGGTTTTATCGTTTACCGAATTATTCTAACATTACACGAAAAATATTAAATATTGGTGACGCAGTACGTATAAGTAAAAATAAAGCCGCTTTCGTCAAAGGATATACACAGAATTGGTCTAATGAAATATTTTTCATAGATAAAATAAAACAAACAGTGCCCGTTGTATATGTGCTGAAAGATGAAGACGGTACGCAAATTAACGGAACGTTCTACCGGGAGGAGTTGAAAAAAACAAATTTTCCAAATACGTTTCTGATAGAAAAAATTTTACGTCGTAAAAATGATAACTATTTGGTTAAATGGAATGGTTTAAAAAAAATCAGTTGGATACACAAAAAAAAGTTGTAATCGGTGTACTCCCCTTGTCAGGTATTGTAGAATAAAAAACCCAGCACAGGGGGGTCGCGGCACAGTGGTGACGTGGCATAGTTGGATCAAGTAAATGATATCTGACAGTGATTAAAATCACTATCAAAAATAAACGCTTCGATGCAAATCTTTAGATAGTGTTTAATTTTAAAAAAATTGGTGTTTTATTCCAAAAGCTACTTGATCTGCTGGTTCCTTATTAATATC